AACACAGGCCGAGGGCAGTTGGACACGGGCAACTACCAGAGGCCCAGGGCCTGATTCGTGTGGACTGGGGCACAGCCTCTCGGGGCCTACCGGAAGCTTCTGGGCAGGGGCCCAGCGCAGCCAGGTTCCACGCAGCCGGCAGGCAATTTCCATTTAGGAAAGTTCCTGCCCATGCATTCCTCATTCGGGCACTGGCTGCATGCTGCGCAAGCGCTGCTGCGCTAGACGCTGGCCAGCGCTCACGCACTCACAGGCGAGCTGGAAGGAGCAGGCAGCCATAGCCGAGCTGCGCTGCTGTATGCTGGATGGGGCGCATGGTGGTCCTTGGGTGCATGTGGCATCTGTGAGTTGGGGATAAGTCTGAAAGCCTGAAAACAAGGGCCTACAGGCCCTGTGTCGTTTCAGGCTAAATCAGGGCCTTTCCGGCCCTGAGTGTTTTCAGCCTGAAACTGAGGGCCATTTACAGGCCCTCATCAGTTCGACCCGCCCTCAAACTCAGGCAACAAACCAGGGTTTTAGCACAGGCCTTTCGGGCCTGTTTTCAAGACAACCCTGATCGACCTTCAACGCCAGGGTCTGGCACGTTTCGGCATTGGCAAGAGCAGCCTCCTGGACGGGCCAGCACTATATAGGACTGTGAGTCCCGACACACAACACTATATAGGACTGGCCCGCCCTGCAGGCCGGTAGGTAGTTCCTAGGTACTTCCCAGGCACTTCACGTCCAGTTCAGGAGGCAGGAGGTAGTCTTCAGGATTCGGCAGCAGCACTCTGGAGGAGCGCTGCAAGAGTAGTAGTAGCGCTAGCAGTAGTCTTCAGCGCTAGGCGCTAGTAGCGTTAACAGTAGTCTTCAGCGCTGGGCGCTCTTAGGAGCTAGAGTAGTACTAGAGAGAAAGAGACTGGGCGGAGGCCAGGGATACTTACCTGCAGTGCCACAGCCTCAGTTTCGCCTTCGAGGTACCTGCAGCACAGCGCCAACTTCACAGGTTAGTACCCGGCATATGAGAGAGAGAGAGATCTTCTTCTTCCTCTTCTCAGTCCACCATCTCCATCTCACCCTCTCGCTACCTGACTTCACTGCATCAGCAGACTATGAGAGAGCGGGCTTCGTGACATTTGAATCCAGACTCGACATTTGGGCTTCAGACATTTTGACGAGGGAGACTTGGTGTTGACGACATTTCCATCTCACCCCCTCTTCTTCGTCTATTCCCCTCCTCTTCGTTTGTGCATGATCTGGATTTGGCGCCTTCTTCTTGTGTATAGCGTCAGGCCCCTTCACACTTGTGATAAGAATGATGTATGTTGGGTCTGCATT